TTTCCAACTTTTTTTCCAGCAAAATAGTTAACCGCTTGACAGTTGATTGGATGCTCTGTAGCCTAAGACTGGATTTTATGAGAATTCACAGCTGAGAGCTCTTTCTGAAATGTACCAGTGCAAATAAACCAGATCATTCTCATGACGCTTCTTAAAGGAAACTTTTCTGTTTTTCCTTTCGTTTACCCCCACGGTGCACAAGGATGTAACCCAATTAGGTTTTCCCACCCACACATAGTTTTACCCCCCCTCCCCCAAAATTTTGTTTCTTCTCCTTTAACAAAGCCAGCCCGGTTGTGCTAAGGAAGCCTTCCCCCTATATGCAGACAGTGGCAGAAAATGGGTGAAACATCAATTTAGCATTCTATGTCCTTTAAAGTGCTCATACTTGGAGCCTTTGCTATTAGAGTTCAGATTTATCTCACCTAAATGCAGTGGCTTAACTGAAGTCCCCAAACTAAAATCCTAGGCCAAAATAATATAGGCTCCTCATTTAGGCATATCAGTTAAGTGCTTAATGATAGGTGGGGCGAAGTGCGGTACATCTGGCTGAAGCACAGGTTTGGGTTCTTAGTTTGTTTTCTAGATTTTTATCATCTCTAATGGGGATGGAAATAGTTCTATGACATTTTTAAACTTACTTGAATCTAATGAGTTAATAAAATCAATTTAAAATTAATTTTTAAAATCTAATAGGAAAGAATGGAGTAGCCTAAGTCTCATCCTTCAGTAATAGCAAGTCAAACAGCACAGCATTACATTGGAAAGGAAAGAAATGGGCCAAAGTAAACATAAATAGTAATAAGCAGTGTCACTCGTGAAAAAAATAATAGGTTGTAAAGATCATTTAGGGCATTATAAGTACCTACAGATGAAAATATTTTTCATAATTCTGTAAAATATTGTTAGTTATATACAAAAACTTTTAGTCTCTGCTAACATTATTATTTATCTCCAATAGCGAAAACTAAGACAAATTAACAAACTGCCCCAAGCGTTTTTTCTAGACTTTTTAAGTGAGTGGAATTTCATAAACCTGCCCCAAGTTCTTGGAAATCACATGGCCCTTGGCTAAGCGTAGGGCCGAGTCTATACAAGGAGTGCTTTGCCAGTGTAAGCGTATTGGCATACTATGGGGCTAATTCTAGCAGTGATACTAATGGTGAAGGCTCGAAGCAATGAATCTGCTAAATTTGCCAGAATAGCTCAGAGATACAGTTCTGTGACATGACATGAGACATCTATTCTTGCCCTCCCAAATAAATTCACATTCCTGTGGTACCAGCAAACTATTCCTAGTATGAACCAGTAGAACTTCTTTGCTGGCAATTCATTCTAGCTACCAGCAAAGTACAGTTTTGCAGCAAAGTACAGTTTTGCAGCAAAGTATAGTTTTGCCTTTATAATGTTAACCACATCAAGAACTTTTGCCAGCACAGCTATATTAATCACACATCACACCTCATCACAATTCGTGTTAAGCACAGACCTGGACTATTTAACAATAAGACTGCAGCATAACATCTTCACTGACCTACTTGTTATATATTACTTTGAATTCAATGGATTTACTTTAGATTTACAAGAGTGTGAGTCTGAGTCCAGTTTAGCCCAGAGAGATGCAGTTTAACCTTTCTTACAACTGATATATCTGCTAAAAGTTTCAAGTAGTTGATTTCTCTCCAGTTCTCTAATTATGTTTTCAAGAATTCATGCATCTTTTTAGATATCTTATTTTATTTTATTTTATTTTAATAAGGATCAGGGCAGATCAACAACTCATTCAGACAAAATTATATTAATTTCACTTTGGATGGGCTCGTTTACACCATTTGTCTAGTTTCATGACTCCTGCAGACATTTGTTTGTTTGTTAACTCCCAAAACCTGCAGCAAAGAGCAAGTATATCCCTCTGGAACTTAGCTGCTCAGTGTCAGAAAGACAGAGAAGTTCTGAAGTCAGCAGTGTATTTTACTCAGGATTCTGCTTGATGCTGTGTAACGATCCAATGCTTGTTTTGTTGTACTGATATATTACACGTCCTCATGCTAATATTTATATATATGTATATATGTATTAAAATACACATTTATGTAGAAATATATAGAAATATATAAAATAACAATCATATATTTCTACATATTTATACAGAATATGACTATATTCACGATAAATTAATTTTTAATAAAATAAATATTTTATATGTTTATGATGAGAAAAATGATCCCTAGAAACCATCCATATTTGCTCTTGCTGCCCATGTATTTGATTCATCTTTTACTTACATTAGTGTGAATCGGGGTAATTCTACTGTGATCAATGGAATTACAGTGATGCAGAAGTGACGTAACTGAAAGGCAAATAAGGCTCTGGATCTTTTTTGACTGATGCTGACTTAGTTATTGACACAAACAAGATGTAATTACTGTCAGCAGCATTGCAGAACTAACTAGGCAGCAGAAGCTCTTCACGTATTGTCAGCCAAATGATCGGTTCTGATCTTATAATCTTTATTGTGGGACAGGATTAGTTTTGATGGAAGAAGCGAAATGGATACAAGCTAGTTTTTAGGAACTGGATTGGACAGACAATTTTACAAACAAATTATCAAGCGAAAAGCTTTTATTTCAAATCATACAGTTGTATCTGTATTCCTAGATGTAAGGTTACAACTGAGATTACGGTTTGGACTGAAAGGAGAGAGGAATGAATATTAGGCCACAGTTAAGTGAACTCTAAGACCATTAGCAGCAAATGAAGAACATTCAGTCGGTGAATAGTAGGCTGTCCTATTTAAGGTTGAGTTTATGGGTAGGCTCAAGTTTAAGACTGACTGAGATTAAAGAACAAAGTTAGCTATGGGCTTGCACTGAGTAACAAGTACTTATACTCGGAGAGAAGTGGAGGCTGTCTAATTTTCAGACAACTTCCATCTCTCCCTTGTGATTAGTGACAGGATCACTGCTATGATTAGGATTAGAGTTTGGACCCATTAGGGCTGTGGAGCTAAAGTTAGGCCTGGAGTGACAAGGAAAAGGCATTCTTGAATACAGTGCTTTGAATCAATTGTAAGTTCAAGTTCAGTGCTAGTGCCTTATTCAGAGAGATGAGCTAGTATTAGACTTGGTCTCCAAGAGTCTATCTGGCTAAACTTAAGGCAGAAAATGCCAACAGGTATGGAAGTATATTTTATTTTAGAACTTTTATTAAGGGTCGAGTTGTGGTCAGGATTCTTGCTAGGATTTAAACTCATTAGGGCTGCTGCTCTGCCTATTTTACAAGGACAAACTTGCATACATTGAGGGCTGCTATCATCAGTGGCTACAGCTATACATTTGCCAGGCTGAAGGAGGTTGCTTACTCTGAATTAACAAGAGAATCAGGGTTAGTTTTAGGGTTAGGATGCAGGTGAAGTTTTGTGTCCTGACTCACAAAGGCAGATGCAGTGAGGTTAAGCCAGAATTTACAATAGGTTTCTGGGCTCACAGTAGGGCTCCTAGCATCACGGCTTGCCAACTATGTTTATCTTTGGAGATAATAAAGGTCTTAAGGTTCAAGGCAGAATTAGGGTTAGAGTTTGGACTCACTAAGAGAGGTGAATTACCGATAGGCCTGAGTCTGAAAGGGATGGCTACGTTAAACTTATGACAGGATCCACTGGGATGATGCAGAGTGCATTCAGTTTTAGAGGGGGCTAGAGATGAGTTTCCTGCTTAGGGTTAGCATAACAATCAGAGGACCGGAGTTAATGTTCACGGTAGGGTTCAAATTCTCCATGGTATATAAGCTGGTGTGCATAAAGCTATTTGAAAAGCAGGCAAGACAAATTTACTGTTGATTTCATTGATGAACAATTTTTTTTTGGACTGCTATAGCTCACCAGCTGAGAGCTAACAGTGAGGTCAGGCTTATGGCTAGGATTAGGATGAGATATTAAATTTGCTAAAGAAGCTGAGCTAAGATCAGGCCTTCATTTACTGGGATGAAATAAGAACTGTCTGGAAAAATAAATTAGATTTGTGGAGGAGAAGAACTGACTGCTTGATGTTATCAACAGGGGAGATGGATCTTAGTTTAAATATTATTAGGGTGATCCCTTCATTGTCCAGGAAAATGCATTTAGTCTAGGACCTAGAAGATGAAAAGAGTCCTTTTGCTTAAAGTTTACCATATAGTTAGGGTTAGGGCTGATGTTAGGCCTGAGCTTACAAAGGACAGCTGAGTTTAGGTTTTAGTCCTAAGTTTAAGTTGTTACTGTTACAAGCCAGCAAACCATGTTTAGTTTTGTGACTCACATCCTTTTAGCAAGCCCTATTATGCACAGCACCAACAGCATCATTATTTAATGCAAAAGAGTCAGCCACTCATCTGTGCCAAAAGGAACATCTTCCAGGAAACAGTTTTGCATGTGCCGCATAATCTGAAAAAATATATACATGCCACTCTGCACTGGAGAAGAGTGGTGTAAATACCACCATCCCAGTAGCCTATCTTCCACATTCACTATATAAAAAACCTAGGCACCTAAAACAGGTTTGTGAATTTCTTTTCTAGAAACAGGCATCAAAAAAATTAGGTGTCCTCTTACCCCCAACAAATTCTTTGGACTTGCCCCAGCACAGTACAATGGATCGTGCATGTGCAGTTTGTCTGTGGGCCCCGTTCTTTCTCGTTAACTTACCCTATGTCTTTTCCATTTTCTCACCAGTTTGCCTATGTTGCTTTTAATGCCCTAAGAAAACGTTTTGTGATGTTTACTCCCTGAAATACCACACCTGGTAAGAATCTATAGCTTATTCTTTACAAATGCAGTAAAAAAAGAAATTTGAGGAACTGAAATGTGATCTGCAGCAGTATTCAAAGGCAGCTTAAGTCCTTTTGGCAATACCATGGCTTACAAAAACCTAGGGGACAAGATAATTCTCCAGCAGAGGGCTTTCCTCAGCCATAATAAAAGTACCTTAGAAACATTAGTATTTATGCCGTAACAAAGCACTCACCCTCATCGTCATACTCTACCCAGGCTGAAGTCCTTGACAAGGAATATCAAGGCTGTTATTTATGCTTTCCTGTTTGGTTTCCTACCTGTCCTCCACTTGTTTGGGCTCTTCCAGATCCGCCACCTATGCACGCAGTGACAAAGTCAGGCCAGGATCTGCAGCCCAGAGCCCAGAACCACTCGTATTTCTGTCTTCCGTGAGTGGAACCCTCTTCCTCTTTGTTTCTTTCTCTCTCATTAAAATCTGAGTATTTTTAAAATAGAAGCACGTTCCTTGAAAAGTTGGCTAAAGAGAAGGTAGCAGCAACACGATATAGAGGTCAAAGCATGCTCAAATCTTTGTACTGAACTAGTGAGTTAACTAGACCAAAGACTGCTTGAGGGTGCAAGAAGGAAAATGGGGAAGAGGTCGAAAACAGTTCTTTTAAAAAACTGTAATTCAAAAGAAAATGCAGCCCCACAGGTGCAGCTTTTAAAAGAGATTATTACTTTTTCCCATTACTCCCATGCCGAAAGGTTAGACGGGATATTCTGCAGTGTTCCTTTGCCTTCCCTGGGTAATACTCTGGCCAGTCACAACTGGAGACAAGCCTTTCCCACATAGCATTTTCCATGCTCACTTAATGTGAGGACAGCAGCTGCAGAAGGATGGGTCAGTTCTGGGTGGGACCTTGTTGGATGGAGTTTAAGAAATTTAAGAACTGTGAGCTAACTGTCAGATTGCTACTGAATAAAAAATGTTGACTGCATGCAACATTGGCCTCTCAAAAGGCTCAGATCTCTCTTCTCACCCATGCTGTTTGACACATCACTTATTGCTAATGAAACTATCCTTGCGCACATAGATGATTTGGCTGTGGCAAACTGGAATCCACTGGTGTTTTTATTTTGTATTTTATGGGCTACTTCAAGTCTTCCTTCAAAACAGTTCATGCTGCAGCAAGGCAGCAGGACTGATCCCAATCCCAACTGGAGGGTACACTGCAGAGTACACAGTTACCTATATACACAGGCAGAATGAGTGGTTTATACATATATCTGTGAGCAATCTATGAGCGGGCTTTGTGAGGCAGCCATGTGTATGGAAGGCATGCAGGCTTTAGAGCATGCCATGCGCGCAGCCAGTCTTGTGGCTGCTGTTCAAAGGCTGTACAGATTAAACCATTTAGTTTTATTTGCACAGAACACTCATACGTCCTTTTCAATACCCACACTGGGAGCACTATGCCTTTTAGTGGAGAAAACATTGCTTGACACAGCTAAAATAGAGGTTCCCTACAGCTTCTTGACCAGAGTGCTTTAACAGGTAATTTGGTGGGACAGAGAGGGATCTGGTTGCACCTTTGCAAGTGACACTACAAACATGCAGTAGCCTAGGGAGTATGAAATGAGAATTAATTTCACTCAATACTACAACACGCCAACAATCCACAGCGTAGTGGGTTGCATTCTGTTGCACAGTGCAGAAAGGAAACGCTTTCACATTTTCTAGAATACTTTTCATCCTTTTTATTTGCTCCTTGTGCCTGAGCTGCCCTTATGGGTTTCCAGACCACTTCTGCTGAGTGCAATCTATTCATCCACGTGGGGAACAGAAAGATTTCTGTGCAATTTACCTACCCAACTAGCAGGAGCAGCTTGAATTTCAAGCACCAATTGTCAGATGGAGGCAATGACAGCAAGATAGATGACAAATAGAAAATGATCTATAGACAGAATATATATATATTCCTTCCTCTCACAAGTGTGTCATCAAGCAAACCATGCTGTGCTGTAAATCCCAATGCTTCAGACACCACAGGGAAAAAAAGACCACGATGGAATCAATACAGGGAGTGAAAACCAAGTCCCCAAACAGCAGAAAACAAACAGAGGAATTTGAAAGACTGCCTAAAATCAAGGTCTGTTTGGGAGTGTTCTGCGGGAGGACAAACGGGCAATGCCCATGGGTAAACCATCCCCCAGACCTACTTGCTAACCTTTTCTCCCAGCTCCCACTGGCTTCAGTGTAAGATGGCAAGTAACTAGCCCTTTGAAAATCAAGCTTGTTATTTAGGTAGTCATAAAAACTGTTTGAATTTATCCTGACGGTTAGATGACATAGCATTTGAAGTACCGTTGCATTTGAAATACTATTAGTAGCTGGGAGCACGTTTGCATTAGACTTCCTAATTTGAAAATACTAAGACAGCTGAATGCCCATGCTGAGAAAGATGCACTGTTTCCTGTAAATAACATCCTTTGGAACTGGGTTCTTGTTAGTGTTGGTTGTTTTCCCAACCTGTTTTAGCTCTTAAACTAGTTTTCTTCACTTGAGGGCGCCAAAGGTCTAGCTCAAAAAGCGAATGCACTTTGCAGGCAGCACTGCTCGGGAGCATCACAACGAAAAATTCACACTTCCTGATCACTAACGTGCGCATAATGATTTTTAATCATATGTGTTACCATGACGAAATGTGTGCTAGAGGTGGGAAGAGACCATTGCACACATGGCTGTGTGCTGCTTGTGTCTTGGATCAGAAAATGACCAGAAGCTCACCAAGGAGAACAACATCGTATCTGCCTCTCTGTGAACAGTACCTGTTCCTTACGGGTGAGTAGACAGATGCATGTCACAGCTCATTACATTAAACACGGCCCTGAAGATTCTGCTTTTATTTGCCACTATCAGATGTGTTCCCAGTCCCTCCCAGTCCCTCCCAGTCCATGTATGTCCCAGTTCATGGCTACCGTTCAGTTCATTTCCATTTCAGGAGTTAATATTTACTTCAGCAGCAGATCCGGTTCTCTCTAAAGAGTTCACTTCATTCAGTTTCTCTCCTTCTCTTCCCTCTAGCTCCTCCTTTTCAATGACCCTTTTTGGCATTAACCTACACAGTAGTCATTTTATTTTATCTTTTGAAGATCCATAGGCAAAGCATTGACTTTCTGTTCCTTCCTCAATTTGCATTGTCATTCAAGCTGCAAAGTACTTGCTAAACACAAAAGGTGACAAAAGCAATATTCCACTGATGTCATAAGCAAAGCCACTTTTGACAGATAAATCATGTATGACTAATACTGGGTCATGCTGATGTGCTGGGTTGTATTTTAAATGACATTTTAATGACATTCTATAACTATTTATATGGCTACTGCTTAAGAATAATCTGGCAGTTCATTTGAAACATTTACAGTCTGTTTGAACTAGACTACTTCCCACCATGGGTTCAAATATTTTTAACCTCTCTGTCCTCTGGGAATTTTTCAGCTGTAGCTTGATTTTGCTTGCAGTGTTATATAAATGAGAAAGCAACAAGATAGAAATGTGTTAATTATCACATATTCAAAATCAGTGACTGAGTCAAGGGTCCCTGTAAACTGTGGGTCCTCTAGATGTTGGTTTCATTGTTAACATTTTCCTGCTACCGTGCGTAGCTTGGGGTGTTCTCCACACCTCCTTCCTGGGCTAAAGGCAGGCATATGTCACAGATACCCTCCTCCCCCATTTATTTATGCTATTAAAAACTAGATGGGACAAGTGCCCGTGCAGTCAAGCACAAACACTGAGGTCAGCATGTGGAACAGGAAGTCTCCATCCTTGGTCGTGCGGCTTACTCCATTGCCTGTCCTGCTGACTGGCTATCAAAATGCAATCCAGCTGAGAGAGGCTAGTTTCCCACCCACTAGTTAGGAGACTCAGCTCTGCACAGACACCTGAATTCCCAGGTCTCACTGAACTGAGCATGGAAAGCTGGCAGGGGATTGTGAGCACACAAGCTGTCAAAACTGAAAAGCATGAAGGCTTCTTCTAAATTTGCTTATGAGCACATTGCCCTTTGACAGGTGAGAGGGTTGTCTGCATTCCTAACTAAGCAAGGCATCTCCAGCATGTCTGCAAATACAGATGATGGAGAAAAAATGTAAAGATAAGTCAGAAGAAAGGGAATGATTCCTCTGAAGATCCTGAACTACCTAGGGTCTCCCGGGAAGAGAAAAGTGAGAAACTGAAAGAACATGCTCTCCGCGTTACACACAGGGAAATTAGGACAGCAGTGTCAATCAGTGGCTCTATCTATGATGCTGATCACAGTGTGGGAACATGTGCAGTAGCACGGTCTTGCCCCCATTACATGGCATGGAAACCACAGTGCAATAAATGAGGCCAAAGATAGAGCTACATTACCTCAAACCTGCATATATTGGAACATGTCTATAGGGTGCTAATCTAATCAGCATTGGTTTTAACGTCAGTATTGACCAGAGACTTGCATCCACCCAATAACTTAAAATCAGCTGAGTTGTTTTCAGTGACACTCATGTCAGCACATATGAAAAAAGATTTTCAGAAGGGCGTATACCTAATCTGTAGTTATGGAGATGGCACATGTAAATCATCAAAATTTACCATCACTAGGTAGTTGTGACACACTTGCTAACCAAATGGCACGGGAGTGCTGAACCTGAATCAAATGCTTACCAAATAGTCTAGTATGAGGAACAGAAGAAAAAGCAATATGGAAAAAATAAAAATGTTGCAACCATGTATCCCAATTACAGACTACTCCATTGCCAGGCACTAGAGAAATATATGGCAAAAACCAGATTCGCCTCCAATTACAGATATGTATGATGAAAAATATGGCTGCTTTCTTTCAGTATACTGCATAGACTCCTACATCATACAACACTGCCTTATTCTTACAAGGTACGCAATATGATATGTCTTTTTGTTTTTAAAAGCTTTAACAATTCCGAGCTAAAGTGATACTTGTTCTCCTGATAATAGACAGACACTTAACTTTTGGTGGTGTCCTGTCCTTGCCTCTTTCAGATCAGTACATATCCATGAATTAGTATGCTTTATTTTTAGGGAAATTTCAAATGCTTGAAATAGCTTCACATGCTTGTTATGTTAAAATGCAGAACTGGGAATTTAGAAATACATTTAGCAAAAGCACATAGTTAAGTCATTTTTTATAGTAAGTAATAAAAAGTGGAAGAAATAAGAGAGAAAAAATGGAAACGTTACTTCCTTTCTGCGCCAGCTAACTCACACAAAACGAAGCACAACGGAGACATTTGGAGACAAATGACTTTGTTTCCCTATGCCCTTCAGTACGGTCAGTCTGATGGGAAAAACCTTAAGTAACCTGATTTACACCTACTTGGAAAGCATGGGTGCACTGCTGTTGCTCTGTGAAGAGGCCGCAGACCAGGTCACAGCGTTACTCATTTACGGAGCTGTGAGGTCTGAGCAGAAAGACATGCACAGTTACAAGAAAATAATGTGTACACTGGTTTCATAAGCAGTGAAATCCCCTGTAATGTTGTGTATATTCAGAAGCTGAGAAAGCAGAAGTCTTATGGGGATCTCACTAGCATTCCTACAAATCTGTTTTGTCTCCTATGCCAGTTGCAAGACACAACATTTTGCTAGACGTTCAGCTGGCCAAAGAGAACTAGAGTTAGCAATATAGCTACTCCGGAGGCAACAAGGACCACTGCCATGTAATGTAACTTTGCCTCAGCCTGAT